CAAGTACTTTTAAAAAGCCACTTTTAATAAGTATTGACTCAGAAATTCAGACTTTGTTTAGTGATAATTTTAAAAGTTGTTTCAAAGTAAAACACGCAGATGGAATTGTAGTTCATGCATTTAGCTACCTGGAGTTCTCCTAAGACTGTCTCTCATCTATCAAGATACAGCATGCAGTTAACTGGGTGGAAAAGGGAATAGATTGGATTCTTCACGTTTGGCCTGTTTTCAAAACAAGATTTTACTTTTGTTTCTGGGCTTGATTCCATGTGCTTTTCCTCAGCAGTGCAGGGAGTAGGGCGTAGTTCTCAGCCTGGCACAGGCTGTGACCGCTGTGGGGGAAGGGTCTCCGGGGAGCGGAGCGTGGGACTTGGGAGGCGTCCTGGGGACGTGGACAAGGTGGTGTCTGAACGCTCACTGTGTTTGGCTTTTGGAAAGCTTTTTGATATAAATAATTCCAGCTTAGATATTAAATATTTCCATCTAAAGAGAACAGTAGGAATGAAGGACTTCTGCTCAGTTGTTGGCTTTCTGTGAGCCATTCCTGTGTTATAGCACACTGCTGGTGACGTCACGTCAGGAGACAGCTGCCCAGGCCGCTCAGCCACTGCCTGAACCCAGTCCTGCTGTGCGTTCCTTTGCTGTAAGGCACTTAGAGTTACAGATGGAGGGAGAGACAAAGGTCTTCCATCTGCTGGTTCACATCCCAAATGGCCACAACAGCCGGAACTGGGCCAATCCAAAGCCAGGAGCCGAGAGCTTCCTCTGGTTCTTCCATTGAGTGCAGGCCCCAAGCACTTGGGCCAGCTTCCACTGTTTTCCCAGGCCACAGCAGAGAGCTGAATGGGAGGAGGAGCACCTGGGAGATGAACCAACCGGTGCCCACATGGGATGCCGGCGCTGCAGGTGGCGGCTTAGCCCACTGTGCCACAGTGTCAGCCCCAGGGGACTCATTTTGATTGCTGTGTTTTGAATCCATAAGAAAGGATGAGTATGAGAAAAAGGCACATTTATACAATAGGTGTTGCTGAAAACATGAAAATAAAGATGTGTGTACTTGTTTTCTTAGTTAAGCTTGGCTGTTGTCTTAGAGCAAGATTACAAGAGCCAGAGCTGTGTGTATCAGGTAAAGCCGCTGCCTGCAGTGCCAGCATCCCACATGGTCGGTTTGAGAACCAGTTGCTCCACTTCCAATCCAGCACTCTGCTATGGCCTGGGAAAGCAGTGGAAGATGGCCCAAGTCCTTGGGCTCCTGCACCTGCATGGGAGACCCGGAAGAGGCTCCTGGCTTCGGATTGGCCTACTGCTATCCATTGCAGCCATTTGGGGAGTGAACTAGTACATGGGAGATTGGTCACTCTCTGTCTCTGCCTCTTTGTAACTGTCTTCCAAATAAATCTTTAAAAAAAAAATTCTGGTAGAGGACTTGAGATGAATTACGTATCTATACAGCAAAGTTTGTGTATTTCAGCAAAGTTTGTGTAATTTCAATTGGGTGCATACATTGGGGAATCCTTGTACTGGTTTCCCACAATTGGCATTTTCATGAACTCATTGTAGTCCCCTTTGTATGGATGTATTGTGAATTTTTTTTAACTAAATTAAGATTTTTTTCTTTGGATAGGCAGAGTTAGAGAGACGGAGAGAATGGTCTTCCTTTTCCGTTGGTTCACTCCCCAATGGCCACTATGGCTGATGCTGCGCTGATCTGAAGTCAGGAGCCAGGTGCTTCCTCTGGTCTCCCATGGGGTGCAGGGCCCAAGCACTTGGGCCATCCTCCACTGCACTCCCGGGTCACAGCAGAGAGCTGGCCTGGAAGAGGAGAAGCCAGGACAGAATCGGCGCCCTGACTGGGACTAGAACCTGGTGTGCCGGTGCTGCAGGCAGAGGATTAGCCAAGTGAGCCGCGGCACCAGCCAAGCATTTTTTTTAAGATTTACTTATTGGAGAGAGAGAGAGGTTTTCCATCTGCCAGTTCACTCCCCAAATGGCCACTGTGGGCCGATTTGAAGCCCGGAGCTCCTTCCGGGTCGGTGTCCTACGCAGGGGCAGGGGCCCAAGGACTTGGGCCATCTTCTGCTTTCCTACGCCACAGCAGAGAGCTGGATGGGAAGTGGAGCAAGCAGGAGATGAACCGGTACTCATAGGAGATGCTGGCACCGCAGGCAGAGGCTTAGCCTACTATGCCACAGCGCCAGCCCCCAAATTAAGCACTTTTAAAAGTGCCAGAACCAAATTTTGCAAGAGAACGGTTGACTATCCCTGGACCTCAGGGGAGGAATTTTGTTAAGAGATTGCAGCTATGGGATTAGAAGTTTTTATTTAAAATTTGAAAAGGAGAGTGACTAGAGGGCTCCAAAGGGAGGCCAAGATAGCACCACATGTTTTTCCTCTAACAGCCACCAGAGAGCGCTCTCTCTCTATTCTTGGAGCCTCCTTGTAGTTCCAAATAATTCTATCCTGTTACAGTGATCTTTAAAAGGGAAAAAAATGTTTACACAGGTAACCACCCATTTATGCCAAATTTGAGAAGTAGCCAATGATAACTGGTAGTAAATGAGGTTTCTTTGGCCGTTGGCCAGTTTGCTGCTTACCTGTGTGACAGCTGCAGACGACCAACATCCTTGCCCAGTAATTAACCCAGGTAAGAAACAGGTGGAATTAGAAATATTTATTCAGAATATAAGAATGTTTGTAAAATATTATAAATGTCTCTGTATAAATAAATGAAGTTTTTTTTTTTTTTAAAGAAAACGATTCTATATCAAATAACACAAAGCTATTTTACAGCATCTAAAACTAAAGGCATCTGGAAACATTTGGAGCATACAAGTTGAATCTAAAAATTACAAGGTATAATACAGCATTAAGTAGCAACTCTCAGAGCCTCTGCCCCTGAAATGCAGGCCTAGCCCCGTGTGCTCTGACAGGACGTTCACGCGGGACTTCCTAATTCAAGTGGTGTGAAAGTGGCACGTTTTAAAGAAAGAAACTTAAGTGTCATGCAGAGTAAGTAACGTTGGCGATGTCTAAGGATTAGAAACAGAACGAATGTGGTTCACTGCTTCGCGCTGGCTTCAAAGCAAAGCAGAGGCTGAGCGCCCACTGGCTGCCCGGACGCGGTGCTGTGTGTTCTGCTGGCAGGGCCTTCCGTAGTCTGACCTGGAGAAAGTGCCAGGGTGAACAGAGGCGCAAGGGTTACTCCTCAGCCGGCTGTGCGGGTGCGAGGAGGTTTGCGTCTGTCGCTCTGCTGGGGGGGGGGGGGGGGCAGTGGCTGCTGGGACCGCAGGGGCTTTCGGTCCTGCGCAGGCCACGTCTCGGCTGCGGTGGGGCCGGAGTGTTTATCCTCAGCACTCCCAGCCTGCACTGCACACGAGACCTCTTCCCTGCCCAGGTGTGTGCCCTGTTGGCCGCATCGTGACAGCTGCGGCTGCTCGCTCGCTGGTGCTGGGCTCACAGCAGCACCGCTCCTAGTTCAGTTCTTGGGTTTGTTTTGGCAGCCGAGGTGTGCAGCGGGGAGGCCGCGGTGCCGGGCTGACTCCAGCCCGAGCTCCGTCAGCGGATTGGGAGAAACTTCGAGCGCCTGTGGAGCGCAGGTCTACTTTGCTGTGCCGAGTCCTGCCGAGTAGGCCGGCCTCAGCGGTGGGGCCTGGATACTGTTCTGTTTGATAAACAGAAAAATCCACTCCCTCGTTTCTTAGTGTTTGTAGGACAAACTACTGCAGGGGGGGAAAAAAAAAAGGCGAACTAGGCCCTCCCCCGTGCTGCACACCAAGTCCAGTGCGCGCGCGTCAGCCGTTGGGCCCTTCCCGGTAAATGGTTCAGGAAGGGACACGCTCAGAGACCACGAACCCAAGAGTGGGTGTGTGCCCCTAGTCTCAGTGTCGATGCCCCGAACCTGAGAGACCTCTGAATTAAGAATAGTTCAGGGCCACAGGAGAGCCTTTCGGAGAGAACAGGCAGTCCAGTCCCAGCGTGGCGACTGTGGGCCCCCCCCAACCTGTGCACAGCGTGTGGAGCTGCCCCCACCCCAGCAGTTCAGACACAGCCGGCAGGCGCTTCCGGGCGGGCCTGCCTCTGGAGGGAAGGTGCCCAGCTCCCCGAGGCCCTGGGAGGGGCTGGGGGAACCAGCAGAAGCACTGGCGCCTGTCGGCGACCTAACCGCACCGTGTGGCTGACGCAGCCAGCGCGTGCTGGGGCAGGGCCGTGGCCTCACACTTCAGTCTCGGGCCTCCTCCTGCCTGGATCCCGAGGCGGGGCTGGGGCTGACCCTGCCTCCGTCCGCAGTGGGAAGCGCGTCCCTGGGGGACGTGGAGTGCGTCCCTTCTGCCCTGCCCTCTGACCAGGGTGGCTGCCTCCAAAGAGGGAAGCGCTGCAGAAACAGAAGGGCGTGAGGAGAAGTCTGAAATCCTGAGGGTTCGCGACCTCGTGAGTGAAGAGACCGAGGGAGCTGCTTGTCCTGGGCGGGGATGGTAAGGGAGCCCGGCCTTAGCGGAGAAGGCAGGTGCAGAGCCAGGCTAGGCCATAAGGAGACCGCCTTCGCACCTCGGTCACGGGCTGCTCCTGCACGGCACGCCAGGTGCCTGCTGGCTCTGGACACCACAAGGGGCGCCTGCCTGGCCTGTGCACGGCGACGCCGCGGCCAGGGCCGGGAGAACAAGCGGGGAAGGAGCGGGCTCTGAGTCTGCCTGGAGATGCGGTGCGGGTGGCACGAAGCCTGTTCAGCCACAGCGGGAGGGGCCTGCAGGGCCACCCCCCGACGTGATACAGCTGGACATACGTGTAGTATGCGTGTATGTGAATTCCTCCAGTCTGTCCTCAGGAAGAAACGTGAGAGAACACCCAAGGAGACACCTGGAGCAGGGACGCGCAGACGTGCCCGCAGTGGCCAGGGCACAGCAAACGCCTTCGTTAGCTGCAAACCGTGCAGTGGAGCGCACTGGCCACAGCACCCCTGGCCACAGCAGCCGGCGGCCTTGGACCAGACACAAGGTCGTCCCTGAACGGGTCCTTCCCCGCCCTGGCTGCGCTCGGGGGAAGGCAGCGCGCCCTTGGGAGGGACTGGGAGGGGGCGTCCCGGAGCAGCCCACCGGCTCCCGCCGAGGCGCGCGGGCAGCGAGCGGGCAGGACGCCCGGGCGCCCCTACAGGGACGTCTCGTTGGTGTGCGGCCGCGAGTGCTCCTCCTCCAGCAGGGCGATGCGCTGCTTGAGCATGCGCACTTGCGTCTCGTGCCGCTCCACCATGGCCATCATCTGCGACTCCAGCTTCTTGAGCTTGCTCTGATGCTTCTTCTTCGCCTTCTCGTAGGCCGCCACCAGGTTGCTGCGGGAATGAGCGAGGTCAGCAGGGAGCCCCGCCCGCGGCCTGCCCGAGACCTGAGAGCAGAGGGGGAGGAACCCCGGCCGAGCCCCAGGCAGGCCCGAGCGCGGCTGCGGGAGACCCGAGAGCAGAGGGGGAGGAACCCCGGCCGAGCCCCAGGCAGGCCCGAGCGCGGCTGCGGGAGCCCCGCAGGTCCCGCGTGGACACGGCGCTGCCTTGCGCGGCTGCTCTCAGAGCCTGGTCTGAGGCCGAGCCCCGGGCCTCCCGAACCCGGTCAAGGGGCCCTCGGTCAGGCCCCGGCACGGATGGGGAAGGCACGCCGGGGGCGGAGCGGCCCCTCCTGGGCAGTTTTTAACAAAAAGGTTTACGCTGAACTAAGGAGTGAGCCGCGGGGGCCGCGCTGCCAGGAGCAGGGGCTCCGCCGGCCCCGGCCCTCCTGGTAGCCGGTGCAGCGCAGTGCTCGCCGGCCCGCCGCTGCGCTGCCTCCTGCCCGGCCCCGGGAGACCCGCGGGGGACCCCACCTGTTGGCGCGCTTCAGGTCGTTGACGAACTCCGCGGACTGCTGGTGCCGGATCTCGCTGCTCTGGGTGAGTCTCTCCAAGGCGCTCACCAGCTCCTGCACCCTGGCCTTCAGCTTCTTCTCCCTGCCAAGGCGACCACAGGCCGTGAGCGTGCGACAGGGACGTGGCCCAGCTCTCCGCCCGGCTGAGCGGCACCCTCGGGCCCTGCGTGCACCCTGACCAGGAAGCCACCTTGGCTCCTGAGCCCGTGCAGGCTCACACGGACCCCCGACCAGAACCTCCTGTGTGGCCGGGGCCGCCGACCTTGAGCTGGTTCCTGCTCCCTGAAGCCACGTGGCCCCTGCCTGCAGACAGTCCAAGGCCCCTGGCCCACTGCGGTACTTGGTCCAGTCCCCTCCACAGGCAGGCAGGCAGGCGAGGGATCTAGCGTCCAGCCAGCCCCTGCCCCCCGCTGGATGCTACTTGGGTTTCACGTCGTCCTGGCCACTGTGCCTTCCACACGCAGTGTTGTGCAGGGCACTGAGGCTCTGGTGTGGCCAGACCCCTCCTCAGTCCCCCAGGATGGCCCCGGGCACCTTCCTGAGGGGCAGCCTCTAGTGCCTACACCTGTCCAGACAGCTGCCCACAGCTCACTGAAGGTGTCAGTTTCCCTGAAGCACAGCTGAGAAACCAGGAGTCAGTGGAGGAATCTCCAAGGCTCACTGTGGAGTCGGGGCCGTTAGGCTGGTGGCTGGGACGGTTTACTCCAAGCCCAGCTCCTGACGGTGCGCACCCTGGGAGGCAGCAGAGACGACCACCCGCCACCCGCGGGAGACCTGGGCTGTCTCCGGGCTCAGGACCCGGGCACTGTGGGGGAGTGAACCAGCAGCGGAGCGCGCTCCTGCCTCTCCAAGCTCTGTGCTGTCAGGGGTCTTTGTGGACGTGAGGGATGCGGCTTGGTAGTATCCAGCACTGTTACACAGAACGCATCCCTCGGCTGAGCGACGTGGCTTCTGGAGACGGAGCTCACGTGTGCTGTGGGCACGGGTCCTCCAGACGGCCCAGTTACAGCTGCAGCTCCGTGCTGGCTTCAGGGTGAAGACCAGGAAACCGCAGGGGCTGGGGAGCGCAGGCTGTGCGCAGCGCCCTGCTTCCCAGCAGACTGCGTGCTCGGCCTGGAGGTGCCTGAGGCACGCCCTGGGACGGGCAGGTTCCACAGGGTGTCGTTTGTAGAAAACTAGGAACCCCAGTGTGCACGGGTGGAGCCGACTGGAAGGGCAGACCCAGGGGAGGGGGCACTGAGCAGCCCACTCTACGAAACTCACTCTTAGGGCTTCCAAGTTTTGCTTCTGTCGTCTGTGAGGTGGAGTCTCCAGGGTCCCGACAGTGGGTAGGAGGGGACCTGAGGTTGGAGCCCCCTTCCAGGCCCTGATTCTCCCTGGCTTGCAAAGACAGAATCCCACACGCCTGACTCGGCGCCGTGATGAGCGGGCCCAGGACCGCAGGCCTGCCCGCACTTCCTGCTGCAGCCGCACAGTGGCAGTGTCTCCTACCACAAGGGAGAAAGCTGAGCCAGGGTGGGGTGAGCCCCATGGCCCTGTGGCCGGGAAAGCTGGGTGCCCTACACTTTGGGGATTTCCGATTCCTTGATCATTCATCTTAAAGCTGAGTAACAGCACAAAGAGAAAGAGGCCGCAGAGAGCTAAGAACGCAAGACACTGTCGAAACTGCACTGCCCCCCCCTCCCACTAGAAGGCTCCCTTTCACTGCAGCCCAGGCCCTGGGACCCCAGAGCAGGTTCCTCACCCGTGCGCTCCGGGACCACCTCAACTCTAGGCACAGAACGTCTGCCAACATCACAGCTCTCAGCTTCCCAGATCTTAGCACGAGCCCACAGTCTGGGAGCGGGGTGGGAGGTGCTGTGGACCCTGGGGGACGTCCGCGTCTCACTGGTCATTCGGAGCAGCACAGGCACGTGCTCCAGTGCCCCCGGCAAGGCCGCCCCTCCTCACCGCAGCCCGGGCCGCGCCTCCCCGTCGCCTCCCCGCCTTGAAGCCCTGGCTCCAGCGCCTCCCTGAGTAACATCTCGAGGTCGGCTACCTGCAGCCCGGATCTGGAGCGGTGTGCACGGTGGAGGCCCCCGACCAGGACAAGTGCGGGGCTCGCGCTTGGTCTCTGGGCTGAGGAACTTGGCTCCTGTGTGCCTGCCCCGCCTCCCAGCGCTGTGGTCACGCCAGCGCACTGCCCCAGGGAACTCTGGATGCACCTACAGGATCCTTCTTCCCCCGACGCAGCGACCCCAGCTCAGCCTCAGGAGCAGAAGCGCTGGCACAGTGAATGCAGGAGCGGGGTGGTGAGGGGGCCACAGGGAGCAGGTGGCGCTCAACCCACCCTCAGTGTGGGGACTCGCCAGGACAGACGGCCGGGCAGACCGAGAGCACGCCTCAGCCTTCCCTCCCCCTCAGGCCCCCAGAAATGATGGCTTTTCCAAACTCCCTGAGCACCGAGAAAGGGAGCACTGTATATACCAGACACGCGCGCGGTCAAAGAGTGAAAGGCAGACGCGTTATTTCCTGAAAAGAAAGGAAGAACCCTGTTGGAAAACCAAAGCGGGGACCAGAGGTGCCGCTGTCGGCCAGGCACCCTGGATGGCTGCTGTCGCAGGAGGCGCAGAGAGCCGGGAGACGGGAGGCCAGCTTCCACCACCTCCCGGACAGGGCGGAGCATGGGCAGCGGGCTGCGGTAAGTGCACGCAGCACTGGCTATCCGGGAGTTTTCAACACAAGGACGAATGCACAGTCAGAACCACCAGACCCTCAAGGAAAGCCGATACGGAGACGGAATCACCAACTGACCCATGGGCAGAACTCACGCGAGAGGAGACAGAGCTGACACCGCACACCAAACTAGACTCGAGCCACTGTGGGGCGGCAGGCAGCGCAGGCCCTGCGTGCGGGCATCCTACACAGGTGCGCGCTCCTGTTCTGGCTGTAACTCTTCCAGCCCAGCTCTCAATGGTCTGGGAAAGCAGGGAAGGTGGTCCAAGTGCGTGGGCCCGGCACCCACGTGCGAGCCCTGGGTGAAGCTCCTGGCTTCAGCTGGCCCAGCCCTGGCCGTTGTGGCCACTTGGGGAGTGAACCAGCGGATGTAAGTTCTTTTTCTCCCTCTCTTGGTAACTCTGCCTTTCAACTAAATGAATCTTAAAAAAAGAAAAGAACTATAATAAATATCTTTAAAGCGACCCAAGAGAGTCGTATCATTAAAAAGAAGGGCGACATATTTCATCACCAAATAAAAAACAAAGGCCAAACATTATCATGGATATAACTAAAAAATAAATTAGTGAGCTGGAAAACTGGGCTGGAATCTGCCTCTCCAGAGGTGAAATGTAAGCTGCCAGCCTTGAGCCCTTGAAATATCAGTGGGACCCAGGACGTGCTGCAAATGTAAAAATGCCGAAATGCTGTTTTAGATATGCTGGGTTCAATACAATGTTACTAAAATGAATTTCACCTGTTTTTCTCTATTTTTAAAAACGTGGCTATTGGGGCTGGTGCCGTGGCCACAGTCCACGGTGTGCAGTGTGACATGGCATTGGGCTCCAGCTGGAGTCCAGCTGCTCAAATTCCAACCCAGCTCCCTGCTAATGTGCCTGGGAAAGCAGCAGAGGATGGTCCAAGTGGATAGGCCTCTGTACCCACATGGGAGACCCCAGTGAAGCCCCGGCTCCTGGCTTCAGCCTGACCCAGCCCTGGCTGCTGTGTCCAGTTGGGGAGTGAACCAGAGGACAAGGAGAAAGATCCAGACGAGCCGGGATCCACTTTCCTCACGAAGGAGACCGTGTGCAAGGGGAAAACAGGAACAACCGAGGGAGACGCCCGGAGCCGAGTACACCCTGTGGCTCCTCAGGGAAGGGGGCACCAGCAGACCCGGGGAGTGGGGACGAGGGCGCAGCTGTTCCCACCCTCACCCTGACTTCACCCCGCGGTTCCAGCCCGCGCAGATGGACGCTCTCCACGCCGAGGTCCGGCACGAGCGGGGTTTTTCCAGACCCGGCACAAGCACAGAGCGAACTGCGCCTTCTCCTTGCCAGGCCAGGGCGCTCTGAGCGCAGCTCCGTGGGGGGGCGCGGGGCGGGGCGGGGCTTACCGCCGGAGGGCGCTGGTGAACTCGGCAGCCAGCTCGCTCTCGCCGCACGTCGCCAGGGCAGGGGAGGCAGCATCGGCACACTCCTGAGGACAGCAAACACATCTGCGTTAGGCCTGAGGCCGAGCCCGCGGGCCCTGGGCGCACACTGGCTCTGCCACGGAGCGCGTCCCACAGATGTGCAGGAACGGCAGTGGGTGGGGCACCCTCAGACTGCTGAAGGCCACGGCCGGGTTGCAAGCCAAAGCGAGCCCCCTTGGCCCCCGACCCGAGGTTCCCGTCACAGGCCTCCGAGCGGGCTCTGAGCACTCAGTGGGGCGAGACCCCGGTCCAAGTGTGCCCACACAGTCCGTCATTCAGTGGCCCTGGGGGCTGGCACTGTCATTATTCCCATCTTACCAAGGGGAAATGAACGCAGAGAGGTTTCACCGCCCAGCGGCTCACTGGGAACAACGCCAGGACTCAAACCCAGGCCACCTGGCTCCCATCAGTGCGCACAAGTGGGAAACAAAGGCGACTACCCTTACAGCCCGTCCCAGGTCTCCCTGGGAGAAAACCCGTCCTCTGGGGATTCAGGAGCCTCTCTGAGCTCAGCAGTCATTGACAAGACTCGGAAAAGGGGAGGGAGACAGCTGCGCACCCACCCCGTGGGCTAGGGCCGGTGGACACCGTGCCCTCGCATCAGCACCTGCCTTCCTCCCCCGTGCGGACGAGGGAGTTAAGGGCCAGCCGGCAGGGCCATGCCGAGGGCCGTGTCTGCTGCAGCGGATGGCCCTGGGACTGGCCCGCACACTGACCCTCCAGGCTGCAGGCCGCACAGTGGAAAGCTGGGGATCTGCTGCAGCAGGGGAAACGCACACGGAAAATCCTATCGTGATGGGCAGAGCGCCTCAGAGGCGCGGACCCAGGGCCAGAGCACAGCCCGCGGGAAGCGGGCTGCCCCCTCGGCCACTCGGACAAAGGAACGCTCCTGGATCCAGGGTCCTGGGCCGCAGCACGGACAACAGCTGAGAACCTCCTCTGGACCACTCCCTCGTCTGCAGTCCCGCCAGCACCATGGAATCCCAGCCTCACTTCTGGTGTGCTGCCTCCCATTTGATGTGAATGTCTCCTAAGATGGCGTAGAGACACGGAGGGCCTCGTGGCTCTCGGTGCCTCTCAGAAACAGACAAGGGCCGCAGAGCCCTAACACGGCCCAGGTAAGATGCGGCGGGAGGCAAGGTCTCTAAACAAGCACCATGGAGCCGCCTGCCTGCCTGCGAGCGGCCAGCACCATCCTCCAAGGAGACAGGTGACCACAGCTGCCAGGGTCTTGGGGAAGCGGGCCTAGAGGGACGGCCCGCTGGGGGCCTCCGTGCTCTGAGCACAAGTGGATGATCTAGACGCAGGGTCTGTCAGCAGTCTCTCTGTAGGTAAGACTGGTTTCCTGTTTTCGAAATCACACACAGAACAGTCAAGGGAAGAATATTCAGTGGCAGGTAAAAATGACACGCAGTGCGCACTTCAGTGTCCAAGGGCAGAGTGGGAGGGATGCAGCCAGGCCCGCAGCTCCCCGGCAGCCCCACGTCGGCCAGGCGAAGCGGCCACAGCACAGCGGCAGCACCCGCACACCGCAGGGCCTGTGCCGTCTGGCTCCGCACAGTGAGTTCTGCTAACCCTGCCTCTTGCACCAAGCAATGAGACCAACCGAACAGCCCGGACGGCGGCTGTACCGCAACAGCAGAGGGAGCTAGTCTCTGGAAGATAAGATAATCAGCATTGGCAGTGTCATTCCCTGACCAGCACAGCTGCTTCTGTCTTCAGGAAGTCACCCAGCCTCTCCCCTGAAGGCAGTCCACAGAACACACTGCTCTTGCCAGTCCACACTCACACCAGGACCAGGGAAGCGGGCCTCTGGCGAGAAGCAGGGGTGTGCTCCCAGCCGCCAGGAACACAGACACCGCCGGCCCGGCTCTCAGGTGCCGTGCTGAAGCGACTGCCAGCAGCCGCAAAGGCCCTACCGAGATTCTCACTCGGAACGAAACTCAGTCTTCTGAGGCCTGAGGCAGCGCCACTGCCCCAGCGTCAGGCACTGCCCACAGCCGGCTCCCTGTTGCAGGCCCGAGACTCCTCCCCGCCTCAGGAGGACGGGGGCTGAGAGTGCCAGCCGCTACGATGCCTCTCCCCCGGACTGCCTGGTGTATCCCATCTGCACCCCTGCCCCCCGGGACTGTGCCTGGTGTATCCCGTCTACCCCCAGCCCCCCGGGATGTGCCTGGTGTATCCCAGTCTGCTCTGCCCCACCCCGGGACTGTGCCTGGTATATCCCGCCTGCACCCCCAGCCCCCCAGGACTGTGCCTGGTGTATCCCGTCTGCCCCCCCAGCCCCCTGGGACTGTGCCTGGTATATCCCGTCTGCCCCCCCAGCCCCCTGGGATGTGCCTGGTGTATCCCAGTCTGCTCTGCCCCACCCCGGGACTGTGCCTGGTGTATCCCGTCTACCCCCAGCCCCCCGGGACTGTGCCTGGTGTATCCCGTCTGCCCCCTCAGCACCCGGGATGTGCCTGGTATATCCCAGTCTGTCCTCCAGCCCCCCGGGATGTGCCTGGTGTATCCCGTCTGCCCCCCAGCCCCCCGGGACTGTGCCTGGTGTATCCCAGTCTGTCCCCCAGCCCCCCGGGATGTGCCTGGTGTATCCCGTCTGCCTCGCCCCAGCCTCTTCCTTCTACAGGCCACTCCCTCTCCCCACTGAAGCCCATTTCAGAAGCTCTTCAGAAAACCTGCCCGAATCCCTGAGTCTGGATTCCACGTCTGGCCACAGCCTCCCGCGGCATTAGGAACTGTTGCAGACCTCATCTGTCCTCCACGGAGCTGCTCGCCTGGGAACGTCCAATCCCATCCTCCAACGCAGTGAGTGATGGGGAGGCTGGCCGGAGGCGCGGCCCACTGGGGCCTGCTGTGCTCTGTGCGAATCTCAGCCAGCACGGGTGCAGCCCGTGCAAGCTCCCAGCTACTGACTGACGACTCCCTGCACTGTCCCCTCTCAGGAGCACAGCCCTCCAGGGACACCCTGCTGCCGTGTCTGAGGAGCCACTCAGACCAGCGAGACAGCATCTGCCCACAGTTCTGGGTCTGAAACAGGCCTCCCACTGGGAACAGAAAGCGTGGCCCCTACGGACGGCACCCTGGAGCCAGGGCTCTGACTCCCGCGTCCAGCACTCTTACTTCCTCCCGGGTCACATCTGCTGTAAAGCTGAGATACACGACCACGTACGGGCTTGGATTCTAGGGGACGGGAAGACCCGAGGGCTGACGGCACGTGAGTGTGAAACCTGTCCAGCACATGGCCACTCTCCAGCGACACACACGTCACAATCCCGCGCCGGCCTCCCTGCCTCTGCCCCCAGGCCGCTTCCTGCTCATGCACTGACGGCAGGAAAGGGAGCCGTGAGCCCCACGTGACCGCCTCGCCGCCTGCGCCTCCATATACTGGGGTGGCTACTCCCTGCTCAGACAACAAACGCAGCACTTGCCAGGGGAGTCCCAGCAACGCGCCCAGGAGAGGACTGGAGGAAGCTCAGAGACCAAGAGGCCGCTGGACAGCTGCACAGACCACCGCTCAGGTTTGACTAGGTGTGACACAGAGCGAGGCCTGCTGACAAAGCGTGGGCTCCCATCTTATGTCTGGAGTGACCCACAGTTCCCACGCAGACAAGGAGGCTGTGGCAGCAGGTAGGGAGGTGCGGTCAGTGGAGCCCGGGCAGGGAGTGCAGTCGGGGCGCCCTACCTTGGGGGGCTTCTCCTTGCTGCCGCCACTGCTGCCGCCGGAGCTGAGGGACCGCGTGTGCTGTTCTTTCTGCTCCTCCACCTCGGACTTGAGGTGCTCGATGTGCACCAGGTAGGCCTGCTCCTGGGCCTCCCGCGTGCTCAGCTTCAGCTCCAGGGCCTTCTTCTCCTTCTCCAGCAGGTAGAGCTGGGCCTTGAGTTCCGCCATCTCCTCCTACAGGGCGAGGAGCACAGGCAGTGGTTGAGGGCAGGGCCGGCTGCCGCCGGCGGGCAAGGGGATTCCTGGGAACATTCTACGGCCCCAAGGTGGTCATCACACTGAGGCTGGCAGCGAGGGCCCAGGGATGGGACACGATAGCTGTCTCCACACGTGAGGACCGACGCGTAGACCCAGCCGTGTGCTCTGCTCCTCCACGAACTAGATGGAGAGAAACGCGTGGAGGCTGGCATACTTGGGTTCAACAGGAGGAAAACCCAACAACCAGAAGCGTCCGCCACGGGCACCCCTGCGGGGCTGGAGGTCAGTTCTGTGCACACAGGGCTGAGCCACACCCCCCAAGGCTGTACAGGCACCCACGCACGAAGGCTGGGTTGGACGAGGCCCCAGCCAATTCCCATGTCAGATTCCACACAGCACGCCACACATTCAACCCCAGAAGAGCACCGCTGTGGCCTTGCAGCTGAGCTGGGCAGGCGCGGGACCCACGCAGCAGCGCCACCGCCTTGCTCTACTTTTGAGAGCCCAGACCCAATACACAGAGGCAGAATCCTTCACGGGACTTCTGGGAGTGTCTTAAATAAACCATGTGGTTGTTTTCTGTGGAGACTAAAATGGGACGATGCTACCTGGGAGCCAGCAGCTGCACAGCAAGGCTAACCGGCAGCCTTCCCTGAGCACAAAACGCCGCCTTCCGAAAGGAACGCATCCGACTCCCCCACCCGAGCTAGCAGTTACGGCACCTCCATTCACGCATGTGGGAGCCCCCTGGCTGCCCACGGTGACCCGCCCCTGAGAAACCAACCAGAGGCCTGGGGCGCCAGGCAGGTCAGACCTGGGGTGGGCATCTTCTCCCTCCGCTGTGCAGAAACAGCCGGGGGCCCCCACCAAGGCACAGGCACTCGGGGCTGGGGGCTAAGTCAGTGTGTTCCTGACCACTTGGAAGAACACGCTGAACCCTTTCTTCCCTAGAAACCAGGATGGAAGGTGTTTCTGGGACCCAGAAGACGCTCAGCCTTTGCCATCAGGAGCAGGACACTGCACACCCACCTATCGTGGGTGGTCACTCCCAGGACAAACGCCTAGAGCACGCCTGAGAGAAGGGCAGGGGCACGCACAGGGGCCAGAGAGGAGGCGGACCCTGCAACCCTGTGATCTGGTCTTCCTGCTATGCAAGGGAGGGCCTCAGCTCTGAGGCAAGGCTCAGAGCTGGACTCGCCATACTTCCCACAACAAGAGACCTTACACCGCCATTTTGGACACATGCAAGGAACCCTGTCATTTCTCAGGCTCTGAGCTGGAAAACTAAAATCTCTTTTGAGGAACCACACTCACCTTGTGCCAGCATCTGAAGCAAAGAATGTAACAGAACCTAGTCCTGAAGCTCTGCAGCCCACAGGGTACACCTGGCATAAACACAACAGCCCCTGCAGGGACACCCGTAACACAGGACCCCACAGGACACTAAGGTGGGTCAGAGAGTCCAACACACAGCAGGTGCAACACAAGTGACAGGCATCAGGTCCAAGGAGCACAAACAGCAGAAGGTGAAAAACTAGAAAATAAGTATCTAAAATTATGTCAAAGAGATACACAGGAGTCAAAATAAAAAAGATAGGATAGGACAGGCTGGTGCTGTGGCACAGTGGGTTAAAGCCCCAGCCTGCAGGGCCAGCATGCTATATAAGAGCCGGTTTGAGTCCCAACTGCTCCACTTCCAATTCAGCTCCCTGCTAATGCGCCTGGGAAAGCAGTGGAAGATGGCCCAGGTCCTTGGGCCCCTGCACACATCTGGGAGACCTGGAAGAAGCTTCTAGCTCCGCCCGTTGTGGTCATTTGCGGGGAGTGAACCAGCCGATGGAAGATCTCTCTCTTTCTCTCTGTTTCTACTTCTCTCTGTAACTCTTTCAAATAAATAATTTTTTTTAAAAAAGGATAGGACATTTAGAAAAGAAGAGTGGACTTAAAGAAGAACCTCGTAGAACCTCTAGAAAGAGCCCATACAAGGAGCCAGCACTTACACCCTAGAACAAAAGGGCTATGTCAGCACAACTGGTCTCAGGTCCGGTGTGGGTGAACTCACATCCTCACACCCTGGGGACAAGGTGGCCCTGACGGGACCCTGACCCTGCAAGGAGCTCACAGGCTGCGCACAGCCAGAATGCCTGCAACAGCCGCGCCTGGGCCAGGAGACACTCAGACTGCCTCCCTCCCAGCTTTTCATGATTTCTGCTCGCTCTTCTAAGATGACGGCATCATTTATTTTCAAGTGGTAAATGGAATATTATTGCCCTTATTCAATAAAAAAATGCCTTTCTTGGCCAGAATATCACTGGATTTGATTAACACCGAGTAATAGTACACATTGGCCAGGATTCAGAAGAAAATCATTCGTCTCTGGCCAAAGGAAACATATCGCCTGGAATACGTAATGGCAGGGCAGCTCCCTGGTTCAAGCTACAGAGTGCAAGGGTCCACAGAGCGGGCTCACAACTGGGGAAAAGTCACAGCCGGCTCGTGGGCAGGGAGAGGACACAGCCAGGCACGCCAAGGACCCTTCCGAGAAAGCCGGCGTGGGTGCGCGGAGGCGGGGTGGGGCACTCCCACATCTGTCCCTGCTGCCTGGGCTTCCCGCTGCAGCAGCCACCGAGGGCAGGGACACTAGCTCCAGAAGTGGCGTCACCACAGAGGGCGGAGCTGATCTCCGCAGGTCAGAATCGGGTTATGAGTTACGAACTCAGCACTGCTGAGACCCACTCGGGCCTGCTACACCTGCCCAGACCCTGAGACCCACTCGGGCCTGCTACACCTGCCCAGAAATGAGACCCACTCGGGCCTGCTACACCTGCCCAGACCCTGAGACCCACTCGGGCCTGCTACACCTGCCCAGAAATGAGACCCACTCGGGCCTGCTACACCTGTCCAGACCCTGAGACCCACTCGGGCCTGCCACACCTGCCCAGACCCTCAGACCCACTAGGGCCTGCCACACCTGCCCAGAAATGAGACCCACTTGGGCCTGCCACACCTGTCCAGAAATGAGACCCACTCGGGCCTGCCACACCCGCCCAGACCCTGAGCCAGCCGTGGCTTCTGTCCCAGAGCCACTCTTGCAGCTGGTGCCTGGGGCAGGGACATGGCAGCATCCAAGGCTGCGTAAGCCAGGCTTGGCTCGTGGCACAGTGGAGTCCAGAGAGCAGGCTTGGAGGCACAGCTGCCAGCTGCCAGCCCCTCTCCCCCCATCCCCAGGGCCTGCAGCTGAGCCCTGTGCAGCCCGAGCAGGCCCCCACTGTGGAGTGGCACAGTAGCAGGCTGCTGGCCGGCTGTTACCCTGTTCCCAGTCCACATGGAGACGCTGCAGGACGATTCCAACACCAAGGGCCTGTCGCAGTGCGGGCCCCACAGGCTGAGGGCGAAATCCTCACTTCATGAGTTGCCAGGGACACCCGCACTTCTGACCGACTGCCTACAAAACTGGGGATTCCCTCGAACTGCCCAGGACCCACCGTCAGCCAGAACAACGTGCAGAACCAAGGAGTCAGCGCACTTAGGGTTACAGTTTTAGTCCACACAGCAAAGTCTGAGGGTTCCGGTGCAGACCCCAAGAAGCCAGGGTGTGTCACCGACTGGAAGTTTACCTGAGCTTTGGGGACCTGGATTTCTCTTGGGGTTCCATTACACAAGCATGATGGACTAAATCACTGACCACAAGATAGAACTCAACCTCCAGCGTGCTGGCCCTCTCCCGGCTGTGTGATCCTGCAGGATCAACCTCATGCAGGTGTTCCAAGGGGGTCCACCTGACTCACCTCATCAGCTGGGCAGGGGGCACGCTCATGTGGGTTTTGACGCTGTGTCAGGAACCAGGGACAAGTATCAACCAGCCTTCACTGCGTGGGAGCAGGCAGCAGGTGAAGGCTGGAACCTGGCAACCCTGGCCAGAAACACGCAGTGTAGGCCCTGCTGAGTCGGCCCAGCCCCCTCCCAGTGTAGGCCCTGCTGAGTCAGCCCAGCCCCCTCCCAGTGTGGGTCCTGCTGAGTCAGCCCAGCCCCCTCCCAGTGTGGGTCCTGCTGAGTCAGCCCAGCCCCCTCCCAGTGTAGGCCCTGCTGAGTCAGCCCAGCCCCCTCCCAGTGTAGTCCTCTGAGACGGCCCAGCCCCCTCCCAGTGTAGGTCCCGCTGAGTCGGCCCAGCCCCCTCCCAGTGTAGTCCTGCTGAGTCAGCCCAGCCCCCTCCCAGTGTAGGCCCTGCTGAGTCAGCCCAGCCTCCCAGTGTAGGCCCTGCTGAGTTAGCCCAGCCCTCTCCCAGTGTAATCCTCTGAGACGGCCCAGCCCCCTGCCAGTGTAGTCCTCTGAGATGGCCCAGCCCCCTCCCTCCCAGTGTAGTCCTCTGAGAAGGCCCAGCCTCCCAGTGTAGGTCCTGCTGAGTCGGCCCAGCCCTCTCCCAGTATAGGCCCTGCTGAGTCAGCCCAGCCCCCTCCCAGTGTAGGCCCTGCTGAGTCAGCCCAGCCCCCTCCCTCCCAGTGTCCGTCCCGCTCAGACGGCCCAGCCTCCTAGCGAGGGCACCAGCTTTCAGGACATTGCTCCCACTCTAGAGACGCTGGCACACAGCCCAGCCAGGGCACGCACAGCACAGATCCTGTCGGGAAACGGCCGGAACAGCACTGCCGGCCTTCCCAGGAGGGCGCTGTGGTCTGGGCAGACCCAGCACTGCGACTGGCCGTGCCTGTGTCCCCGCCTCCAGACACCACCAGCATCAGCAGCCCCAGGAGGCCTTCAGGCACTCCTGGGATCGAGGGCACGTAGACAACTGTGGAGTGCACCCTGCGGATGTCTGATCAGGTTCTCTTGGCGACTGAGGTGTTTCAGGGTGGGGCTGGGCCCCAGGGGCACCCCTAGAATTCAGTTCACCTCTCCAGGATCATCTGCCTCAGGGGCCCCAGACAGAGCGAAGCAGTACCCGCCCGAGAGGGAGGCAGTGGCTCTGCCGCAGGTATCTGCCGGACATGCCTTCCGAGGTCGCAGACCTGTGGGGTGAGAGCCGGGGGGCGGGGGGCGGGGGGCAGGGACCCCCCCACGGCACAGCTTCACTCAGACCTGTGGGGTGAGAGCCGGGGGGCGGGGGCAGGGACCCCCCACGGCACAGCTTCATGTTCAGAGGTCGCAGGCCTGTGGGGTGAGAGCCGCGGGGGACCCCCACTGCATACCTTCATGGCCATGAGCTCCTGCATGAGCACCGCGTTCTCCAGGTCCAGCCTCTGGCTGTCCCCGCGCGGCTTCACGTCGCAGCTGAGCGGGTCGATGTGGATGCTCTCCAGCTCCAGCATGGTCAGCTTGACGGCGGCCCGGTCGTTCCTGAGCTGCTGGATGTAATCCTTCAGCCTCTGCTCGTCCTCCTTGGTGAACTCTGTGTCGCAGCTGCTGGCCGTGGAGCTGGTTGTGCTGAGGGGAGAAACGCCACGCGTGTCCGAGTCGCCCCGACAGAACCCCACTCCCGGCTCTCCCCCACAGCCCTTCCCCAGCACGGCTAACGCTGGGCCCAAAGAGCCTCCTTCAAGGCCTGGGGGGCTGACGCCAGCTTTTAAAGAGTAAGAGAAACATTCACACTGTTGCACACAATGGTGTAGAAGCCAAAGACGAACGTCTAAGCAAGTGCCAGGTGCACGGCGAGGTTGAGGACGAGTCTAAAACACAACGCAGCAAACAACCACGCGTATCAAAGGAGGCAAAGCTTTTCACCACGACGGCTGTGACAGTGGTGGGTGTATTTACACGAGGAAACAGGATGCAAATACAGTGTGTATAAGTAAAAACAGGTGACTACATGGACAGGACTTTGCAAAAGGACATGATAAGGGAACTAAGAAGTTGAAGAAATGCCTACACTATGGTCCGTGGCCATGCACATGGACACACGTGCACACACCCATGTGTGCCAGTGTCCCCAACGGTGGCAGGAGTGGGCGTGAGGTGACGTGTGCTGCTTGCATCTCGTACCAGGGAAGACACAGGTGGGTGTAACACAATAGCAACAGCCTTGAGAGTGGGTCCTGGGCCTCACGACCAGCAGGGACTCAGGCTGGCCACGGTGGCCTGTGGGGGCCTTTGCCTTGCGGCTGGGTGGAGGCTGTCAGACCCGAGACGCATGCTGGTGAGCCCCAGGCCCTGCGAGCTCCTGGGGAGGCAACCCACCACGAAAGGCAGAACACCCCGGGCACCCCAGAAGGTCCTGGTCAGTGCCAGCGGCAGACGGGCTGCCCTGCCATCCAGACGAGGCCCCTCCCTCCAGCTCAGTCTGGGAGGAACCTCAGTTTCAGGAGCTGTGTTTACCCCACGCGGCCTGTCTGTGCTTGGCTCACACCCCATGGAACTGGTTTTGCAAAGACAGCAGCACAAGCAGGGGCCTGAATTCTCCTCAGAACAGGCCAGGTCGGTTTCATTATCTCTGTTGTTACAGATGTGGAAACTGAGGCTCATAGCCCCTAAGCAGCTCGTCACGAAGGTGGTGCAACGAGACTCAGGTTGTGGCCTTCACATCCCACGGTCCTGTTTCTTTCCTAAAACCCAGGGAGCCAGGAGCAAGGAGCGGTCTGCCCTCCTCACCTGATCCAGGAAGAGAGGTGACAGGCCCAGGACCCTGGCCCAGCAGAGGGCGTCCCATATCCTAGACACCAAGGGCAACTGTACTCTTGGCAAGAACAGGTTTAGGGAGAGAAGTGACAGGGGCGGAGCCCCTCTGCTTAGCTGGCGTTCACGGGAGAAGACAGCACCGCAGGACTGGGGTGGTCTTTATGCCAGAGAACAACTTCTAGAACAGGAAATGCCGGACCCTCTCTGGGGCTGCCCTCACTCCCGCCACCCCATCAGGACAGACCGGAAGTTAACCCGAAGCTCAACACCCTCCTGGGACTGTGATGTGGAATTAAGTCAGCTGCGCAAGGCCATGGTGCCCCTCCCTTGGTGTTTGGTCAGACACTGCCCTGAGGGTTTTTACATGTGCTTAACATTTAATCAGGAGACTGTGAGTCAAGATCAGTGTCCATGGCGTGGGCAGGCCTCATCCCATCAGCTGGATGCCTTAAGAGCAGAGTGAGGTCCCCCATGGAGGAGAGCTCTGCCTGCACACAGCCCTGCAGCTCAAGACTGCAAATCAACTCTTTCTTGGGCTCCAGCCTGACCTGCAGGCTCGAGGAGTCCCCAGCTCCATAATCAAACGAGCCAGTTCCTTAGACAGCTCTGAGTGCGAGTGTGTGTGCAGACACAGGTGTCCATGCAGAAGCAGGTATCTCCATGGAGACAGATACATAGAACAATACACACAGACACCCCGAAGCAGACACGGGAACAGAAAGACACATCCTCAGGTAGATCCTGCATCTCCCACTGGTCCCGTCTCCCTGCAGAGCCCCCAAGCCCAAGTGCTGCCGTCACCTCTGCCAAGTACCTTACACTCTTTGTAGATTTCCTTAACTGTAAAATGTAGTTGATACAGATGTTTCCTAACACTGCGTTAAGGAGTGAGTGAGGAAAAATGGGCAGTGTTTACAGCAGTGACCAGCACACGGAAAGCGGTCAATAAACACAGCTGTTTTTCATTAATTCAACAAATATTGCACAGCCTCCGTGGTGACTCTCGTAGGTCCTGTAAAAACCCTAGCCCTCACGGACTCATACTCTAGCAGGGGAGACAGCAAGCGACAGACAGGTGTCTCAGGAGGGGACAAGTCCCAGCAGAGGCCTGGGGAGGGGCTTATTATTGAAATAAATCTGCAGGGAAGGGCTGCCCGGTGCTCACATCTGGGTAGACCTGCAAGAGGTCAGACAGGGAGCCACGTGGATATCTAGAGGAAGAGAGATCCAGCCAGCGGGCCCAGCACCTGCAAAGGCCCTGAGGCAGCGAGCAGGCCAGCAAGAATGAGACTGGCTGGAGAGGGGGCAGAGAGCTAGGTCACGGAGGGAATGGAAGCCACAGGAGTTTGCAGAGGGGAACAAAGTGTTCCACCTTCCGTGTAACAGGACCCCTCTGGCCATTATGCTGAGACGCCAGAAAGCCAGGACGACAGTGGGGAAAGCCCTTGGGAGGGCTGTGACCGCCCCAGGAGGAGCTGGGGGAAGCCTGGGGTGGGACAGAAACAGTGTCACCCATGTTGCTTTCTGGGGCTGAGAAGGGAGAAGCAGGTGCACTATTCAGACCCGACACCTCAGGACCCTCCACAGCGAAACGAGAGCATGACGGAGCAGGACAGGGAGAACAGCGCGCACAGCCGAGGACCCGGGGCCCTGGCGCTACAGCTGGGTCTGCCAGCAGCTGCCAGACGACAGGGATTCACCCAAGGGAGAAGCAGAGGCTCCTTCTCCGGATCTCAGGAAGCCCAGCCTGCAAACAGCTCATGCAGGCCAGTAGACACCCCTTGGGTAGGACTCGGCAGCTCACCTACAGTCAACACCGGCACTGTAGGACAGATGTCCCCAGAGGAACGAGCAACAAACCCAGAGAAAACTCGAGCAGTGGCACTGTTTGCAGAGTGCTCCATGGGGCCCTGTGGTGTGCGCTGAGACGGCCAGGCACTGGGGCAGTGTAGGGGGAGGCTCTGGGAACACCTCCTTCCTAGGCAGCTGGGACTTGGGTCCAAGGCTAACTTACAAACTGTCTTTCCTCATCAGAAATCATCTTGAAGTTTCACAACACACGGTAATACAGAGAATAGCCACCATGCAAGTGCTTGCCTCCTGTAACACTCTGTTTTCTTCAGACTACTGTTTCAGAAAGGCAACGCTACACATTAAACACCCTTTCCTGACTTTAAAATGGGGACGTGAACCCAGCCGGAGTTGCCGGTGCTTCTGCAGGAACTGCAGTGATCCCGGGTGGCAGACTCCCACCGCAGTTCTCACAGAGGGGTGCTGAGCTGGCCACGACAGCATCACCCAGGAGCCTGTTAGGATGCACACCCCAGGCCCTGACCCAGATCAGGAACTCCAGAGGGGAGAGGCAGTCTGTGTGTTAACACTTCTTCCGGGGGATCCTGTCACGGTGCAGGTGAGAGGGGCTCCGGTCTACCTGCCAGCACAAGTGGGTGCTCCAGGACCCTGCGAGGCAGCAGCACGCTTGCCCATTTTCCAGTGATTCTGAGCAGGCCCCGATGTCCCCCCAGACCCGAGCAGAGGCCCTGCCTCTGTTAACCGCCGGGAGTGAATTACCCACCCTGTCCTGCTACGGTCAACAATACAAGCTGGAAAGGACGCCGGGACTTGAGGCAGGCAGCACCAGCTGCTCCTGCTGCCCCGCCCGCTCTGGACCTGCTCTGGGGGAGGAGCGGACACGGCCTTCTCAGGACATCCCTGAAGGGCATCAGCCAGCCACAGGCTATCCTGAGAGCTGCCAGAAAGAAGTGTCCAGGAGACTGCAAGCACGAGCGGCCAGGGACTGCCAGGCTCTGTCACCCTCCGGGGCCTGGAGGCCACCCTGGCATGCAGGGAAGGCTTTTTCTCACCACTCCCTTTGCTATGAGCACAGTTTTCATAAAGGAAAACCAGGAAGAACAAAGGAGTCAGTGCACAGATCCTGCCCTGTTGGAACCTCGAGGCTCTGAAGTGCTTTTAGCAGAGGAAAGTTTAATGTCAAGGCCAATACCACAGCCTGGCCACCAGAGCGCCCCTCCACCCCCAGGACACAGCAGGGAGTGCATCAGGCGAGGTTAATTACCACTCTGCCGGATGCCGGCACATCTCACCACAGCGTACCACTGACAGCAGCAGGAGGGGCAGCGGTGGCCTTCCCCCTGCCTCCCTCGCGCGGAGGTGCGGGTGGCCTCTGAGGGCTGGTGCTGGTTGCCAGGTCAGGGTAACGTCATCCATTAACTCTCCCAGCTCCGAGTGGGACGAGCCCAGCCGACACGGGCACAGCTGTGTGCGGGCTGCCGTTCCCGTCTCTACCACGGGAGGCTGTTCCGTGAGCCGATGTGGGGGGAGGCGGCAGAGCGACAAGGCCCAGCCCATCCCGGCCCAGTCCCACGTGCTGCAGTTGGGCTCTCGTTCCTGAGGCTGGGATGGACCAGCAGTGTCCTTTAGTAAGACTCTGATAGCCCACCCGCACTGTGCTGGCCTAACTACTTTCTCTCTGCCCATCCTCCTGCATGACACGGCACACGCAGCGGGCCTTCAGCCCAGGGCCAGGGCCCTCTGCCTGCCCTGCCCACCGTGGGACGTGCTGTTCAAAGCAGCCACGGTGCCAGACCTCTCTTCTGTCCCTCCCCTCAGGTCCCATCTCCGTCTTCAAGCAATACCCAACCCTGCCCCTGCTAGGAAAAACTATTTTTTTCTTCAGATTCCTCAGCTTGCCTCAGCAGGAAGCTACAAGGACATTTCATTTCTTGGGCCTCAAAAATGAGATGGAGTTTTCTCAATGCTTTTATCAACATCTCTCCTGGCCTGAGTTGAGA